ATTTAAATGAAATTTGATACATAGGTGCTTGGAATAAAGGAAAATCTAACGTTAGTTTCAAAATTTAGATTTGCGCATGCGCAGTTCCAACTTTCTTATTTATGAAAGCATTGAACTGAAATTCTTCTTATAAACAAAAATTGAAGTAGCACGTCAACAATGGATTGCACATGTGCAACGCAATCTTTCATATTTGTGGCCGGATTTTTACGATTTTAACAGAAGTTGCATCTTACAAATGGGAAATGAATGCAAGGGGAAATGCGCTTTCTGTAAATCGTTTACGATTACTTTTTAACTTGTTAAATATTGCGATCCCGTATTTGACTGTTGAATACGAGCCACCATTTGGACCAAAGTTTCTTCGTGTTCTTTTCTATGTGTATTAAAGAAACTGAATTGCCCCAAAACGAATTGATAGAATTCAGAAAGTATTATAATGATTACCTACTTAACCGATCTTCTGTATTTTCCGGAGCATAACACGAATAGGTGCTATAAGATCAGTTTATGGCGACAGTTAGCATCTGCGTTAACTTCATTCTGATCCACATTATGCGATATCTTGCACGCAATTTTATCGCATGCAATAACTAGCGCACAATCTTCTCAGTTCTCAGTCACACACCACATGGTCAATGCTCAAGTATTAAGGATATTAAGGGAAAATGCTCTTTTCATTTTAAATACTTTTGAGGATTAAGTAAAACAAGTTAAAAAATCATTATGCAAACATAAATGACGAGAGCGTATTTTCCCCCTATCCTAATAATATTAATGATAGGATCGGAATAAAATACCGGTAGGCACGAGATCCTTACCCCATTCTCTTTCAAATGAGCCGCCTATCGTCGAAGTCTATATTTAATGAAAAATAGTGGAGCGTATACAGATACATATGTACAAATTTTGAAATGGGCATTAGTTTAACTTTTATTCTAAGTGTCTGCATATGAAACTTTTTTTTAATGCTTTCGTAAATAGCATTGCGCCTACATTAGAAATTTCATTGAATACCTTCATAAATAAAACATACAGCATGCGTTAACCGTAATTTTTAAACCGGTATTAGATTTAGTTTGAGCCCTATATCGCCCAAATCGGTTCAGTGGTGTAGAAGGAGTACGTGTGACAGACGGACGGACGAACGGATGGACGACAAAGTGCAGCCATTAGCGATTTTTCACTTTGAAGAAAATACGCTAAAAAAGTAATAGTTCATAAATGAAATGGATAAAATTAAATCGAGGATAAATAAAAATTATCTGGCCATGACCACCTCCAATAAGTAATGTAAATATGTATAACGATATCTCATGCTATAAGTAAAGCCCCGGGTGGTTTTGTTGAAACTACAAACAATACTCACTATCAAATGAAAATAATTTGTATGCACTCAGGGGCAAATAGCATAATATATACATTGACCAATCAAGTATCTATACATACTGAAGATTTGCTATGAATGTATTTTGTGACACTGGAAGACTGGAAAAATTATGAAGCGGAGAATGATATCCACGGTGTGATTACAACACCTAACATTCCCCATACTTGCTGCAAGTCAAGTATGGGGAGGTTAGATGTTAGAAAATTCCTCTTTTTATTTATAATTATCAATATGTGTGTCGCCATAACTGCAGAGAAGACAGGAACGCTGCTATTCATTACCATAGTCCACGCAGATACTCTATCATGTTTTCCCCCTCACAATGTTCACCTTATTTAAAATCCTGCGATTGGCATTACGATATTTCCATCGCTTAACCACATCCAGACACGTACGAAAAACTCATAGGTAAGTACCTACTCTGCATTCATCGATTTTTGTATATTGAAGTATATTATATCATAATATAACATGATTATATGGATGGAATCTTCTTGCTCACTCTGTTGCTATTTCATCAACTATTCGTAATACTTTGTAAGAGAGGGGAACAGTAGGTACAGGCTTGTTTTTCTTATTCTTTTTAGCGTATTTTCCTCCTTCTATACGGCTGAACCGATTTCGGCGATATGGGGCTCATTTGAAAGGTCTTGGTCCAAGGATTCCGTACATACCGATGTGTTTTGGTTTTGCGCATGCGCAGTGTCAAAAATTTGGTTTAACGCGTGTGCAATGCGAACTTTTTTATTTATGAAGTAATTAAATGTAGCTTTATAATTTATATGTATTATATTCACTACGAATATAAGTAAAATTGACGATGACAAAATATTGTGTTGCGCATGCGCAATGCCAATTTTCTTATTTAAGAAAGCATTTAAATGCAATTTAATACATAGGCACTTGGAATAAAATCAAATCTAACATCAGTTTCAAAATTTGGTTTTTTTTGCGTAAGCGCAATGTCAACTTTCTTATTTAAGAAAGTAACTATAGAGCATTCGCACCTTAGTATGCAGTATGGGGTCTTATGGACTATATCCCTCCTTTACTAATTTGCGTCATTCTTCAATAACGCTATCCTTATTCCTTACCGCAATGATGCCAAACTTACATATGATTGAATTTAAGCTTTAAAACAAAATATAACGTCAAATCTTCTTGTATTGTCATTACGTGTGTGGTTCGTTTTTGTCTTTCGTATTTAACACATTTTATTGTCTCATTGCTTTAAAAATCGTTCTTTTAAGAACGCCTCCATCTCGTACTTTATATACAAGGTAACTTTGAGTGTTCTTGTAGAACCGTTATTTGATTTCATCTTTTTAGAATATCCCATTAAATGGAAGCCGAAGCTGAAGCAGGATCTGCTAACGTGAAACGCCATAAAGGAGAGTGTTTTAGCCGGAAGGAGAAACACCTCATTATCAACGTGCTGAACTATTTCTCGGGAACGATGAACGTTACTGCAGCTGTGAAAGAAGCAAGTAAAGCTTTATGTTGTTCTGAACGGAGCATCTATGCCATTAAAAAGGAAGACGGAAACGAAGGTGTATCAAGCCCGAAAAAACGCAAGCAAAGAAAAGGGAAACAAAGCAATGATCGTCTTCATGTGTATGATGAAAATGTGCAATCAGTTATTCGACGTAAAGTGCATAACTTCTTCATTACAAATATTCCACCAACTATGAACAGCATCTTAGCTTCCGTAAATGACCCAACTTTAAACGCACCACATTATTCAATCTCTTGAAAGATATGGGTTTTGAATTTAAGAAGGTTGGCCGCAAAAGTATCCTTATTGAACGGGATGATATTATACGATGGAGACATAAATACCTACGTCGCATCAGGAAGTTGAGAGAAGAAGGTGCTTAATCTTTTTATTATATTTAATTGCAAATTACATAATATTTATATTTTAGGTAAAAATATTGTGTATACGGATGAGTCATGGGTTAACATTGGTCATTCGGTGAGCAGGGCGTGGCATGACACCACCGTTGAAAGAAATCGTCAGGCATTCATCAAAGGACTCAGTACAGGTTTAAAATCACCCACTGGTCTAGGGCCTCGCTTTGCGTTAGTACATGCTGGTGGTGATAATGGTTTTATTCCGGGCGCGGAACTGACTTTTCTCTGCAAAAAGAACACTGCTGATGCACACAACGAAATGGATGCAGACACTTATGAAAAGTGGTTTTTTGAACAGCTTCTACCAAATGTGCCACCGAATTCAGTCATTGTTATTGACAATGCCTCGTACCACAGTAGAAAGTTGGAGAAGATACCAACAATGTCGTGGAGAAAAGAACACATTATAGATTGGCTTCGTGAGAAAAATGTACCGATTGAAGAAAATCCATTAAAACGAGACCTACTGGCTTCTGTTGCGCATGTTCGGCATCACTACGACAAAAATAAGCTTGATGTTATTGCACAAGAAAAAGGTTACGAGATTCTCCGTTTACCTCCATACCATTGTGAATTAAATCCCATTGAAATGGTGTGGGCTCAAGTTAAACATCATATCAAAATGAATAACAAAACATTTAAAATAAAGGACATGGAAGAATTAATAAAAATGGGTTATTCACAAGTTACGGTTCAAAATTGGCAACATTATGTCAATCACGTGAAAACTATC